CTGTGATTGTTTCTTAATAATAAATGAGTTTGTATACCGAATAAAAATTCTGATTATATCCAGAATAGCAAGAACCCTTTATTAGTTTTATACGTTAGCTTTATCCTAATAAAACTGTCCTATGGTAAATCCAAGACCCTTTGGGAAGTAGCAATTTGTAACTTTGAGAGATCAATCATAAAAAATATTCTGATTTGCTCTAAAAAATCAAGAACCATTTATTTGTTTGATACGTTAGCTACGTCCTAATAAATCTGTCCTATATTAAATCCAAGACCATTTGAGAAGCAACAATTTGTGTGATCGATAATAATAATTCCCAGAATTTTCAATTTTTTAAATTTTTTAGATCGAATACAATTTCTGATTAAATCCAGCATAGCAAGGATTCTTTTTTTATCTACTTGTTCTGTTCAGACCTGATTATATTTTTTTACTCAGTATACATATCCCTATAAAGCTATCCTAATTGTTGAGACTTTTCAATAGGCATTCAATTCAACATGTTTTGTTAATAATCTTCTGGTATCTCTTCTTTTTAACCGACTTCAAAAAAGGAGGAGGTTATCAATTCGTCGCGATATTTTTTTTTTTTTATGTATGTTCAGCGATAATTCTTTAACACGGTGTCCGATTTCAATAATTCTTTTTTTGTTAGAAATGGGGTACTTCAGGGGTGGTCCCATATAAATTTGGTCAAAATTTAAAAATTGGGTCTATGAGAAACTCCTCAAACTCTTCATTTTTTATGTATGTTTCGCGATAATGCTTTACCACCTTGTCCGATTTATATGATTCTTTTTTTGTTAGTAAGGGGATACCTCAGGGGTGATCCCATATAAATTTGGTTAAGATGTGGTGATGGCATCTGCACGTTTTTGAAGTCGGTTTTTTTAAATTTTTAATTTACACTTGTATATCTAATGATGTGAAAGTAGCTTAAAAATAGTATTTTTCAAGATATTGACAAATTTTTGATTCTATAATATATTTTTTTCTGATTATTAGTGATATTTTAATTCTAAGATGTACTTGTGTTTTCATAAACTAAATTATAAATCTTAATACGGTATAAATTAATTTTGTCATCTTAGACGTGTGAATATTTTCTGATCCATTTTAATTTGCAGAATAACATATGATTCATAAGTTTTGCGAAATATTTCAGAATTAAATATTTTTAAAAATCAAATATTTATTTAAAAGTTATTTTCTAAATGACAGTTCACATTGTTCTTTGTCCCGTTTGAATCGGACCAATAAAAGCAAAGATATGAGTTATTGACCTTTTGTCTTTACCACTGCACATGATTTTTCTTACATTACGTCTTTTTGGCTTTGTTTTCTTCATTTCCCTTGTATAGTTTACATTGGTACCTGTCAACGATAGTCGTCATCTTGGTTACTTTAAATTATCAAACCGCGAGTTCATCTCTGTAACGGGTGGAGGGTAGGTTACTCCTACGGCACTTAGGCATCACCAGGACCATTGTGCATCCTCCTAAGATGATAGGCACTTTCTAGCTTGTGAACCAACCTACAGATTTAATGCAATTGACAACGTCGCCAAGAGAGGTGCTTCTCTTATTACGGCCGGTGTTAGACGATTCTTGCCGAACACAAATCTCCTAATAAATGAGAGCGTCGAGCAATTGTAGAGGATATACTAGATGGTCTCATTTTTTTTTCGCACCCTCTGCAGAGTGCAGATTCTGATAGCCCCATAATATGGAGATGCTTTCGTACTTGGCAATGACCAGTCAGAATTCCTGTGACTAGCCGCAAATTCTGTCTAGTCATAGTCAATTATTTGTTTGCTGCAGTGTTGTCGGGATAACCTAAAAGCTCCCTGGCAACTCTGCAGTTTCTTGTTTCAATCCATCTTTCCTTGAATTTAATAAGGGAATGTTCTTTAATTAGGTCTGTCACTACCGATTTTGTCAGGCCAATAGAAGGGCCAGTTCCAAAAAGTATTTGGTTGGCTCCTTTCTTAGCTAGTGAATCAGCAGGACGGTTACCTTTTGATGTGGCGTGACCTTTGATCCATCTTAAGGTGACCACGTTGTTCATGTTTACTAATAAGCTTGACTTCAATCCTCGACTTATGATCTTGAAAGAGACAGAAAATGGCAGAATGGACTTCAGCAATTTCCAATGTTAATTTACATAATTCTCATTCTCTTGCAGTACCTTTACTTTTTCTTATAACTATGAAACTGACTAAAAACATTTATATATTTAAATATGTTGACCCAGACTACTCCACAAGCTGTAAGATTCTTCGGATCTTCCTCATAAGGGTTTGGACATCTTCAACATCAAATTTTTGAATCTTAGACATAATGCTACATCGTAGTTGGTCTCTATTTTGGCTAGATTAACCATGTAATACACTTTTTGTGATAAAAGTATTCAAAATTATTCAAAATGGTGAGTCTTTGAGGGTTGTTTTGAGGGTTATTCATTTTCTGCACATTATTTTGTTGTCTAAACCAGTTTTGTGTTTTTCTCGCATAATGACATGAAGCCAAAACATTTATTCGTCTTTGAAATGATTTTCTTTAATAAAGTCAGCCATTTTATTAGGTATTTGTCAATATAGCGTATGCTATCTAGTGCTTCGTCCTTAACATGGTTAACATATGGCCTTACTAAAACTCTTTGAAGATATAACACACCTTACCAAGATGTGGTCTACATTTTGCTTTTTTAATCTTATATTGTCTGGACATTCTTTTAGGTTATCTATATAAAATTGATGTAGAAGTGTCCCAAAGTAAATATTTTAATTATAATCGACTTTTAATTGCAAATTAGTTGTCTTTGGCAATATATTTGACAACTTTCTTTAAAAATTCTGAAAATAGTGCTGTGGGAAGTATTATTCGCTCTGGTTACTTCTGGAAGAGATACTTTAGCATATCTTACTATTCTTCTGCACTGTTAGGGGTTGAAAAAATGTAGTATTCTACTTTTTCAGAGGTTCTGGCATGAAATACCCTGTTTTACCTTGTTCTCGAAAAAAATTATTTCATCTCTTTTTTCGGCACACTCTGTTAGATCTTCAGCAGGGTAATGTGGATCTCAAGACTTTAACTACCCTTTAAAACCCTCTGTATTTTTGAGTTGGTAGTACTATTGCTGATTTTCATCATGCACGAGTAGGTTTTTCAATTGTCTATTTTTTCCTATTCCTTCTTTTTCCCTACAACCACGATCCTAATGATCCAGTCATAAATGTTTTAATATTTGTTTTTGTCTGCAATCATCCTTGCAATTACGTTTTTTGGGTTTATATACTGTTTTAGCTCTTGGTAAGCTGTAAAAACCTTTCTCTGTTGAACTTTACACACTAGAAGTATGTAATTCGTCAACGGTTTCTTTTTCTTTTGGTATTGGTTTCAATAGATTCGTTTATAAGGAACTATGTAGGGTAGTACCGTTCTCCTGTATTTACAGTTTATGCTTAACTTCAATAATTGTTGGATCAGCCTCTTGGTCCGTTGTACTTTTTTAGTTAGATTGTTCCATTCTGCCTGCCATTTAGCAATTTTATTTTTTTTTTGCTTCCGTTTTTTCTGCATCTTTTCTCCAGAAGCATTTCAACAAATAAATCGGTGGAGTGTCGGTGATTACCGTGAGTGCCTCTGCGGAGGTTGTTCTGTATGCACTGACTACTCTTAGTGAAATCCTTCTTTGGAATCTGATCAGAAGTTCTCTACACCCCTTTATTTTTAGGCTTTCTGGGAGTGTCGATTACGTTACTCCGTACAGCATTTATCGTTTCCAGTTACTTGGTCTTTAAATGTTGGGCATCATTTTGAACAATATATTTGTTTTTTGGTCTACCTTTTTTACAGCTCTTTTTATATGTTCTCCAAAAGATCAAATTAAAGTCCAGATAAATTCGCAAATACTTTATCGTGGTAAACGGTATCATCTTACAGTTTTTGTCGTTAGTTTGTCCCTATTAGCAATACTATCTTCCGTTTTATGGTAGGTTAGCTATTAATCAATTCATCTTTGTAATTTTCTCTTATTATCTAAGCTAGATCATCTAGAAATGCAATGCTATTACAGTCTTTTGACAATTGTAGGTCAAGAACTTCATCGTATAAGATAGTCCACAAGGTAGATCCTAGGAAGGAACACTGTGGATGTGTTTTTATTTATGTAGTCTATTAATATGAGATATTCCTTATAATTTTTTGTCTTTAGGCGTTTAAAATTAGGCTGTAACTAATGTGATGAAGGCCACTCAATTCTACCTTGTGCTCTCTACTTCGTTATGCAATCAGTGTATAGCCTTAATTGTCGATTTACCCATGCTAAACCCGGAAATATTATAGTTTGGGGTATTCGCCCAATAAAATTATAAATAGCTTAAATTTCCAAGTTGATTTGTAAATGTAAAATTTAAGGCTTTGTCAACAAATGCAAATTTGTTTCCAAAACCAACTTGTTAAAACATAGGAATCACAAAATTAGAAATCAATCTTCTTTTTTGCAAAAATTAATAAGCCATAAACTATATTAATATGTTTTATTCTTTACTGTCAATTGGCTTCTAATTTGCTTTATTCCAGTCTTCCAGTCGGTTTTCTGCTTTGCTTCTTTCCAGTATACCCCTTAACTTAAATGTTCTACTGGGTCTATTGGGTTTGTATCTTTATTTGTTTTTTCAACGATTTTATGGCAAACAAATGATAATTTTCTTCAATCTTTTCTGCTATATAATGTATTATAATTTCCAGGATATTGATCTTCCTCTAGGATCTGACTCTCTCTGTACTACTATTTTTATTTCTTTTACTTTTCATCACTTTCTTGTTCTCTCATTCTACATTTGCTACGATTTTCCACTCAATTTTTTTAAACTTTTTCTCTACTCTAAACAATTGTCATTACTAGTAAATAACTACCAGTATTTAAAGTAAATTAAACACACCTCATTTAATTTAAGAACTTGGACTCTCTTCTTCATTAACAATATTTTTTAGCTCGCAAGAAAAAATCCAAACTGAAGAAAATGTTCGTACCAATTCTGGTCTTCATCGTCATCAAAGCCATGACTCTCATCCCATTGGCGTTGGGAATCTTGGGAATTAAAGCATGGAACGCTACTCAGTTGTCGTTTATATCGTTCGTCTCATCTTTAGCAATGGCTATTTGGAAACTTTGTTCCAAAGTAAGCCATGAGCCTCCACAGGTCATCCATCAATCGTACGATCCACATCTGCATCATTTTCATGATAGACAGGATGCTGGAGTACAACAGATGGCGTACTCTGGATACCCGCAGCAGTGATGGAATATTTTGAATTGCATATTTATTGTTATTTATTTTTTGTTTTAATAAAGAAAATAAAAACAAGTTTAATATCTTTTAATTTAAATGTTCTTTATAGATATACATAATTTTCTTTCAGCAACAGATTTTTTAAAAATAACAAACAAAATGTTTGTCATGCTATGAGTCAGATGAATAAAAGGAAGCAAATGCTTATACTTTAGTAGCGTTCTGTTTTGTTTTTTTAATTCTGCATAAGTTCATTTCAACAATTTTAAGTAAAAGCATTTGCTTTTCGTTTATTCATTTGACCTATAGACTAAACAATTCCCGTAGTGAGTAAATGCCTAGTTGCCAAGTTATAGATGGTTTCATTTTCACTTTAGTTTAGATTAGGATATTGTGTTAAGAGTTAATCTAAATATAAGGAGCAACTACGCATTTTCTTACCACAGGATTTGGGTTTTTGTTTAGTCGTTACCATGACAAGTGTCTCTATGGCAAGAGTTTTTCCGTAACTGATTACAGCTAAATTAAATTATCTGTAACTTGGCAACCACGCATCTCCTCACCATGGGATTTGGCTTTTTGTTTAGTCGTTACTATGTCAAGCGTTCCCATGGCAACAGTTTTACCATAACTGATTTTGTCTAAACTAAAGTGAACATAAAATAATCTATAACTATGCATTTCCTCACCATGAGATTTGGGTTTTTATTTACTGGTTACCATGGCAACGATTGCCATGGCAACGGTTGCCATGACAACGGTTGCCATGGCAACAATTTTTACGTAACTGATTTCGGTTAAACGAAAGTTGACCCATGAAAAAAGGAAACTGAAAAACTCTTATTAAACATGTATTAACATGTCCTGGTATTTCATATCTACATAATAGAGGGGTGCTAACAGAACAGATATATAGAGATTTTAATAAGCTTTGATTGGAATTTTTTGAACTCAGGCAGTCCAGAATAGTCACAGATGGTTTTTCCAAGAGCAGCAGAAAAAGGAAATTGAAAAATTGAATCCTATGAAGACACATATATAAATATTAGGAATATCTGACGACTCTATATGTAGCAAATGTAAAAGGAGAAACGAAACTGATTATTATTTTACACCATCACCAGAATCTTAAAGCTGAAAGGAACCACTTTTGTAGATATTTAAAGTATACTTATGTTAGGGAGACGTCTTTAAAGAGCTTTGACTTCCCATGCAATCAAGCATTTTCAGATGAGGTAACTTACGTCAAATGGATATAAAACTAGTTATTCTTAAGTAGGGGAACCTGTTGTACCTTGGACATCGTTGTACCTCGAACATAACTTCAAAATTCAAACTACGCGGTACTTTTACTCAACGGGATGAATGCTAGTCATGCGCCAATGAACATACGACAGTCTAAACAGTATTTTAATCGTCTGATGACTAAAGTAGAATCGTGAAGTGGCTTTTATTTTTTTTTTTTTTTGTTGAAAATGTAAGTTATTTCTTTAAAAGTATATCGCAAATATTTTGAGTATGTTACAATTAACAGGTTGGGATTTCCCTCAAATAAATTAAGTGGTTATTTGGCCCTTATTTTGTGTATTTTTAACCGATATATTTCTAACCTCAAATTTTCTATGAATAATTGTTTGACGAACCAACACGGTGTTGTACCTTGAACATAATAAACACGATGTACCTTGGACATATTCAACGTACAACACGATGTACCTAAAACAGGTTCGAGGTACATCATGATTTAATAGAGGTATTATATGTCTTTAATTAATAAATTTCTTTACAGTTATTGTTGTTTTACAACAAAATATGCCACGCAGCAAAACTGGATTGAAACGGGATCCGCCAGATCCCGAAAAACTGAAAAGTGCGATACAATTGATAAAAGAAAAAAGACTTACAGTCTCAATTTATGACCTTGCTCAACTCGTAGGAAAGGCGGTTCCTTTAGCTTTTACACCGAGCAATATCATTCAAGGATTTAAAGTAACTGGATTTGTTCCTCTAAATGAGAATATTTTTTAAGATTTTGAATTTTCTCTTTCGAATGTTACTGATCGCCATGATCCAGCTGCAACAGAAGGCAATATTGGTAAATCTAATCAGCAGCTGACTAATAATGTTCAATTAACTTCTAATTGCCTTGCTTCCACACAGGCGATTACAAATATTGGAGATGTCCAGGCAGAACCTTTGCCTTTAACATCAAGTGCTTTTATTAGCCCTTCCATGATTAGGCCACATCCCAAAGCTGCCCCACCCAAGAACACTCGGGGCAGGACGAGAAAAGGGAAGATCGCGCATATTAACTGATACCCCTGAAAAATTGATCATTTAAGAACAAAAACAAGTTAAAGCAAGAAAAGTACAGTATCCTGATTCTTCATCAGAAACTTCCACATCTGAAGATTTTTCTTTACAAGATTCGAATGATTTCGACATTTTTCTGATTTAGATGTGGGCATAAAATCAAACAAGAATATTGGAACATCGGTATTAGAAGCTACACAAATATCTTACCCTCCTCCAAGGTACGCAGTGGGGGATTTTGTTATTATAGTTTATGATGCCATATTTTTCTTAGGTAAGATTCTGGAAACCACCACCACCTTTAATTTTTGGAAATGGCCAGAGCGAATAGACTCGATGTTTTATCTCTGGGATGATATTCTAAAACATATTTCTCCCCCTAAGAATAGTCATTCGAGGTAAAGGAGATGTGGAATATTGATGATAATTAACAGAACTTTTGAGTTACTAGGCAGTTCTAAACATTAGTTTTTATTTTTATTCTTCTTTTTAACAATGTAATACATTTTAAAATCACAGTGAGTTGTTTTATTCCATGTCACTGCATCAAAAGTATCGTGTTACATATTACCAAAATATATGTCTAAGGTACATCTTGCCTGTGTTCCAGGTACACCACCCCTGTTGTACCTTGGACAATATATATATTTTTTTTAAATGTTATTTTTTGAAACAAAAAATGTATATTTCTTTACAAAAAAAATATATTATACGCTTAACAGTACATATTATACAATAGAGGGTATTAGGTGAACCTAAACAATATGTATAAATAAAAAAATAAATAAAAAAAAGAAAATAGGTCCGAGGTACAACAGGTTCCCCTACATTATCCATGCTCTAATTGGTTGAGTAAAGCTAGAAGTGCCTGCATTATCTACTAAGAGGTATTTTAAAAACTCTGCTATACTTCTAATATCTTAAATAAGAGTTGACCTTTGGTTCAATCTTATTTGTAAAATTTGGGATTATACTCTATATTTGTCATTTTTTAAAAACTCTTAAATATTTTTTTCTAGTATCAAAAAAACATCTCTAATGTATTTTTTTTGCATCGCTGTAACTTTTTACGAACAATGTTTGTAGACAAAAATTACTCAAGTATGACATCCTTATGTTGACATATCCATTATCTATAATAAACTTAGATATTCTGCTAAAAACTAACGCTCCCAGACAAAAAAAAATGTTTATTTAAATTTAAAACAAAAATAGATATTTAGTTTATAAATATTCTATTTCTTTTGATATTTGTGCAGTCAAATTGAAAATAAATTTGAAATATGAAAATCAGGAGAGATATGGCAGATATTTTAGCATAATGATAATAAATGAAATAATTAATTATGATACAAAGAGTCGGTATTAATTATAGATATTATATCTCGCTTTCAAATTTTCTAACATATTTTGTCCGTGTCAAAAGCAAGTGTAATAAATAATATATTAATATAGGGCGTGGTATTTTCTTAATGTTCTTGTTTTTATTTTGAAATTAATGTCTACAATTTTTACCTGGTGATTTTTGTATTAATTATTTTTGGGATATTGAAAATTCTTGGCATATTTCAAATATCTTTGGTCAGGGAGATAATCGACTTGCGTTTAATAACTCCAGTGATCATTCTATATCTTTGTTGGAAATGCCTTAACATCTCAATAAGTCCTATCTATACAGTCTCCCAGACAGCACAATTCAATCCATTGGATGTCCATCGGAAGTTCATTCATGGACATATCGGCTGTCCAAAGGACGTCCAGCATTTTACCAAAGGACATCCAATGGACATCCACTGGACTATACAAATGTCCCACTCCTGGACGTCCATTTGGACTCCATGAAAGGTCCATATATGGACTCTTTTTGTATTGCTTTTGGACAATTTATGGACATCTGATGGACATCATCACCTATATTAATATGAAATAAAATAATTGCAACTATTGACTTATTTTTATTGTCATAAATAATATCAAGCATGTATTAGTTTTATACACCCTCCTTCCTGTTGACCTTTTAAGCCATTTTCTTAAGGTTATTTCGCTTACTTTTTAAGCAGCACCATTGTCACTCTCAGCAGCAGCTAAAAAAAGACATTACATTTTATACGAATATTGAGTCTTAAATCAATCGTTTAATATCAGGCAAAAGTGATAGTTAAAAATGTAAAATTTTTAGATAAAATGTTATTAGCTAATATGAAAATATGCATTGACTAATGCACTTTACCCCTATACTTACATATAAACAAAAAAACTGCTCATTGTTTCTTTAAATTACAATTTTACTTTCATGCCATCATATTATGTGAATTCTTTCGTAAGGGTATTAGAAATTATGGAAACAAACCATCTTTTTATAAGTTCGTCATGTCCTTGTCCCTGGTTTTGGTAACGGCTGAATCTAAAATTGCAATAAAAATATGTATTTGTGAATTGTGAACATAAAAGAGAAATAACTTATGAAACCACTTTCAATGTATTATTTCTTAAACGTTACAAAACGATTCTATTTTATTTAATAAAAGTAAAACTTACAGCTTCTTTAAAAATATTTGTATCTTCTAAATAGCCTTCTACTTCTGCTAACGTCTCATGCAGTACAAATAGAAACTTTTCTTCTGCTTTGAATGTTTTCTCACCTCTTAGTTACAATAATAATTGTGTTGACATCATCTCGAATTTGCAGCATATTAGTTAGCTCTTAGTAAAGCC